GTGACCGTTGAGCCTAGAAGATAAAATATACAGCTTCTCAAGAGCTATCCAATAAATAGTGTTTGACCCTCGTATGTCATATATTCAATGAAAGGACCAAGAAACACTAAAAATCTAATTTAATTAATCATTAATTAACAAACCATTGGTGACACTTGTCACTAGCACATAAAACATACAGTTTCTCAAGAGCTATCGACTGAATATTTTTTCAGAATTATTTGTCAATTTGTTCATGAGAAAATACAATTTTATTTTTATTTTTTTTTTGGTCTGTTCTGTTGTAGGTATTATTTATTCCCATTATTATTCATATGTATTTTCTTATCTAGTTCATTATTGTATTATGTTTTTGTCTGTATTGTTCAGATAGTAGTGTGCAGTGATTGGACAAGCACAAGTACAGCAAGTACAAGTACAAGTACTGTGTACTTCATGAATTTATTTTGTACTGAAACTTAGACATAATGCACAATACTATATTGTACTCAGTACTAGTACCGGTACTCAGTACATTTGTACTTAGTATTTTGCTTCTATAGTGATCTGCTTGTTTATTGCAATCATAAATCAAATCAATTTGCAGATCGACAGTATGAATGAGAGTGGAAACGGCATGCGTTTTTTATGCCATAAAGATAACGGCATACGTGTCATTCATGCAATAAAGATGTAATAAATCAACACTTTTAATCTCAAATTGTTTATTCGTTACGTAATGTTAATATCAATGATTGCGTCTCTAATCGATTATATAATGCCATATGGTTTTTATCAAAGTATTCATTTACAATTAATTGAAGTGCAATAAACGTCCCTGATGTACATTATAGTCCATCTGTTTAATATTTTATATTAGCTCTTTCCTGTTTCTTTTTCCACCGATGATTAAATCGAATTTATCTTTCCTCTTTTTTCTCTCTCTCTCTCTCTCTCTCTCTCATCGAACAGTATAAATACTCGATCTTTTCCAGCAAGCTATATCATTTTCATTTTGGAAACTTCCTCGACTATTAGCTTCCTTATTCTTACAATAATTGGGTATGTACTATTTTGTTTTCTGTTATTATTATCTTTATATAGTGGTTGTTCTTACTGGAAATATTTATTAAATATATGGAGTCCCTATTCCTTGGATGCACCATTATAAAATTCAAGCTTTAAATGACCAGATACAACAGCGAGATCAACGACTAGTACGTGCAATATCATTGTTTGAACCATTACAAATTTATCATAAGACTATCAAAAATCAAACAGTTGGTTTCATGGAAAATCTCAAAGAACACATAGGTGGTATGACGAAGGCTGTAATAGATATGACAATGACAATTACTCACGGAGTTAAACATATTTGTAAGTATTGGTAAGTGCTTTATTCTTACATTCTCTATACAGTGCATGACATAAAAAATTATTTTGCTGGTATCTTTGTTCTTTATCTTGGACCTTTTTATTGTGATCACTTTTGTTTACTGTTATTGCCAATATAGTTTTGGTAGTTCGATGACGAGGTTTATGTTCAAGAAAACATGGAAGCCACTGATACGAAGTAGTGCGTTTCGACAATAACAAAAACTATCACCAAGAGCTCTATCTCTTTAACCAAATTCACACTAATGCGCTACTTATTCATCAATATATTATTGTTATATGTTTTTCTCTGAAAGTATTTGTCTAATTCTAGTATACCTTACATGAATGGCAATAACAGCAGTGGCAGCAGCAGTTGTTGTTGAGAACGACAATAGACGACCGGAAGCATATCATGATGAATTTGGTTGAATAATCGAAAAAGATTTAACAAAGCAACTTGAAGAATTGGAACGAGAAGAAGATATCTATTAGAAAAAAATAAAACAAATAATAGAATCACAACTATGAATATTTAAATCCAATTGAATAATTCGAAGCAGAAAAACAGCAACCATCTGAAAAGATAAAAAATGGATGTTGATGCAATGAAACTAAATCATGGTAAGCAACACATAATGATGAGAATTGATAACTATTGTTTTATTCTTTTTTAAGATACATCTTTAAAATTAACAAGCGTCAAAATTAATCAACCTAAACCAAAAAGATTTTTTAACCCATTCAGAAGAACAAAAAAGGCATGAGCTACTATACATGAAGATCGAAATAATAATTTAATGAAAGATAAGTTAATTATTTCACAATCAAGAAACAATATTATGACATTCAATTATACATCCTACTTTTATATTATCAATTAGTTTAGAGAACTGATTTATATTTACATTAATTCTATTTGTATTTTATTAATCATTTTCTTTTATATTTTAATATATTCTAATAATTTAGATATTTTAAATATATGATTTACTCGATATTCTTAGTTGTTCTATACTTATATTTTACATTTTCTTTCTAGATTAGCCGTGACTGATTTTAAAAGAAAATTTCGGAAATAAAAGTTTGTTATTGTTGAAACTTACCATTTTTTTTCATTTTCATATGTTTTAGTTTTTTCAATCATAATTGTTGTAATTTGAACTGTACGATGTGAGATAATTTTGTATATGTATGATAATTAGCATGAAAAAATAAATTTATATTCATTTAATATAATCATATTTCTTTTCTTTTCTTTTTCTAGATTCATATTATAATCATCGTGTCAATGAAGTATGAATGAAAACTACGATTACAAAACAAAAACAAAACAAAAAACAAATTAGAAACAACTTACTCGGATGAATAACGTAAATGAAAGGAGAGGAATAACAGAATATCAAGTTATATAGTCTCCCTTCTCTCTCTCTTTGTCTCTCTTATTATTCATCCCATTATCAATTCCAAGCACGTAGTCAGGACAAATGTGATGTTGCGCAGAATAAATTACACATACTTTTGAATTATCTCTAAACACGTATCTTTTTTTTGCGTAGTAACATACAATCACGTATATTGTACACTTTGTTCTTATATAGATAATGGAAGAATTAGTAATCGAATTCCTTCACGTATCCTTCCCACTCTTAAGACGTGACATTCCTTATCTTTTATATGAATAATACGCCTTCTGTCACGTACATCTACCTAAATTCCATCCTCTCTTCTTCTCTTCCCTTCGACACTATATAAGGACGATAGTTTCTTCATTCATATTCATTCATCATTCAACAACGATTATCATCACATAAGCAAGTAAGTTGTTTCTTTTTAGTTTTCTTTTAGTAGTGTATTATGAATTTATCCATGTTCAAACTCAATAATATGGCTATCTATGATAATCATAAGATGATTTTATATCACAAATATTGTATTTTAATCTATATCTTTTTGTTAGTTGTATTATACGTAATATTTATTTCTAGATTTTAGTTCATTTGTATGCTGATGAACTTCATGTTTACTAAGGACGAATACGCCAACATTTGATGAAATCAGTCACTATTATTATTACAAATCTTTTATACTGCATGTTTATTATATCTTACTTCTTTTACTTTCAGTTCATATACAACTACTATCTAATAAAATCTTTTTTTATTCTAGATATTTTCATATCATCGTAATTGTTATATAATCTCCACAAATATACCATCATCATTTACAAGCTATTATGATGATAATACATGAATTGTATAATCGAATATCTTGGTCAAATTATTATTTTATTGTATATTTTCTTAGGATTTTGATAACTCAATTTCAATTTCCATGAAGCAACTACTGGATAGTATTGTTAATGACTTGAACGAAAATTAAATTACTAATACTATTACTTGATTAATTATGTGATCATTATGAACAGACTTTCGTTGATGTGAAAATACTGAAAAAAATATAAAAAAGTAATTATTGTCTTCGTTCTCTTTCCTTTAAACAAAAAATATTTATGCAATAGCATATTTGCACGTATTAAGAACAAAAAAGATACATTTTTTCTTATCTATCTTTTATAAACAAATACAAAATATACATTGCTATGTATTTATTCATATTCACCATAATATAACTATTCCTCCCACATATATTATTGCGTAGGATAGATTAAAGTTTACATTCCTTCTTATAGATATAAATACTCATTGTTTTTTTATATAATATTCATATTTTATTATAGCTAACATATAAGTAAGTACAAATTATATTTTTTCTTAGATTAGAACAATAGCGATTATATATTTTAATATTGTTTTTTTTATCATCATATTGCAAAGAATTATTGTGAATAATTCATTCCAACAATACATTTTAAGTAAGTTTTATTTTCATTTACAATGTTTTTATACAACTTTACATAAACATCTGATTTTATTCTTATCTTCATTCATTTTCGTTTATATCTATTTTATATCGGTAATTGTTTGTATTAATTGTTCTTCGTATCTAGTAAGTACTCATTTACATATATTTAAAGTATAAATGATTAATAAGAATTATTTTTTCTATTCGAATATCATCCAAAGAATGAACTTCAAGTTATGAAAATTTTCATTATCAACAGATGTTTTATGTTATATTTCTTATTTTATTTAGCTTGTTATTTTAGATAATAAACTATTATTTTCCAAGACCAATGCATCGAACACAAGAACAACAACTGTTGTCTTCAGAGTTATTACCATCAAATAGTATGGAATACATTGATGATGATGAACAGAACAATAATCTTCAACAACAATCAATTAAACAGGAAATACAACCATTAAAGTGTTCAAATCCTATTGTGAATCGTCAATCTCTGTTACCAGCTTATCCAACATTTGATCGATTTGGACCTATCAATCGAGATCATTTACTTTTATCTAATATTTCTTCTCGAAACTTAACAAAAGAGCAACGACAACGTCGTACTTATCATCCATTTCATCAACCATTTACTCTAACTGATGAAGGTAATGATATTAGTGTTCGATCACCTTTCTTGGAAGTATATGATGATTTATATGGAAATTTAACTAAACGTTTTCAAATTGATAATGCCATTCTTAGTTACAATTATGAACGTCTTCGTACTTGTATGAATATTATGGTACAAGAACGAATTCGATACGGTTTACTAGCATCGGATACTATTGGTATGAAAGAATTACGAATGGTTGAATATCCATTAGCAATGGAATTTTATCTACAAATTGATGGTATACAATTTTTTGTTTCCTATGATCATATGATTATGTATGTATTCTAGATGAATTGTTTTTTATGAAAACATGTTCTTTTCGTAATGCTAAGCCATCATTATACAATCATCATGGTATCTTCTCTATCCATGAACCAAAAGCGCTCTATGGTCTAAAACCATGTGAACAAGTTACATGTCGATTTTGTTTTCCCATCACTGATATTCTTATTCGTGGTCGACAAAATCAACCAGTTGTTCAATTTTCATCAGCACAGAAACATCGTTTTGTCAATGGATATGAATCTATTCTCAATTGTCCAGTGGTATATACTATCATATGTTTGATTTTCTGATTTTTCTCATTTATTTAGACTTGTATTACCAAAAATATACTCTATGCATTGACATGTCCTTGTGGTCAATATGATTATATTGGATATACATCATTAACATTGGATGAACAACTTAAATGTTAGTATATTTTATTTTTAATAAATGATAATTATCTTCTATATATATAGATCATCGTGAACATGGTAATCGAATTATGCATGAATTTATTCTTGGTTCAGAAAATAGTAGTCGTATGCGACAACAAACTAAATCACAAGAGTAATTCAATTTTTTCCATGTATACATATATTCATATTACTACACATATAAATTCTAGAGAATTAATAGCTGATAATATGTTACTTTATAAACATTCAGCTCGGTGTTCATATGCTATGCAAATGTTTCTGGATTGTAATCCGCAATACTGGTGTTTTGTACCAATGTCAACAATGGAAGCACAAACACAAAATCTTACATCTGATTTGTCAAGTGTTTGTACAGCTTTTGATCGTTCATTAACTTTTCCATCGAATATTCATTCATGTCATGATCAAGAAGCTGGTGCATACATGACTGATTTACCTCCATTACCTTCAGAAAATCATACATTTTCGGTACATCAACGTTCAAAACAAATACAATTATTAAAAGATAAACGTGAATGTCTTAAACCTAATTTGCATCTTGATCTTTACAATGCTACAATTATTGCCTTGATGCCAGAGGGATATACAGAATTATTTTATCGATTAATCGAAGCATTATTTATTACACATGCTCAAACAAAATTAAATACATTGGGTCATTTAGATGGTATGATTGTTGAAAATAACAATTGTAATGATATAAATGCACGCACAGTGAATGATCGTCGTGGTAACTGGTGTCAAAATCTTGTTCGTCGACCTTCCACGTTGCTATTTGATCAATGATTTTAGAATTATTTTAATGAACTTCAATTTTTCTTTTCTTATTTTAATCAGTTTTCTATTTCTTCTATTTTTACTCATTATCTTCTATTTCTGCTTGTAGATTTATATTTATAAATCAATTTCATTATGTTTTAGTTATCTACTTTCAACTATAGTCATGAACAGCTACAGTCAAGATCAAATTCGCTCTACAAGATCAAGAATGGACAGAATGTTGCAGATGCTTGATCAATCTGCAGAACATGAAGAATATTCAACTGCTCAATCACATTCATTACCAGCATACACGACTCGACATGGTTTGTGCTTTTTGTTTAATTAATATTCTCTATTAAGAAATATTTTCTTTGTATCTTTTTACTATTACAGATACCTTATTTTCATTGGGACGACAGCATTATGTGCCAGTTAATAATCAACGAACAAATAATCTGCAACAGTTCGATAAAATGGATACTGATCTTCCATGGAATTACAAGATTCTTGAAACTGATGACGAAAAAGAAGATGATAATAATAATAATCAAGAAATACAAGAACTAGATGTAAATATACATAGATAAGTTACTTTTGTTATATTTATTCCATTACTTTAATTAAGGAGTTAATTTTATCACAACAATTGCGCGAGTTATCAACAAATACCACACATAACGAAGAAGTTCTCATGAAAGATATAAAAGATGAAATTGAGAAAATTCCAAATTTTTTAACAAAACATAATAATTCATTTAAACAAATATTGTATCAGGCACAATTATTAATAAAATCAACAAGTCCAACAACAACTGTTGATATTAAACAATTACGGGAAGTAGCAATTATAATCTATAAAATCATGATTATACAAACTTATCATCTACTTTGGATGGCATATCTGAAATCAGGTCGAGGAGAGTTAATAATATCATCTGAAACAATACCAATATGGCCAAAAGATATTACAAGTTTATTTAAATTAAACAATACAACAAATGCTCATGAAATTTATTTAAATTTTGTCAATCAACAATTACATGCATTAGATCATCAATTAAATATATGTAAAACTGGATTGAATACAAAAGCAAATAATATATGTGGTTATTCAATAATGGTTCAAAAAATAATAGACACATATATTGAAAAACATATTCAACCTTTTCGTTTAAAAACTGAACATCAAACTGAATTGATACATTATGATTATCATATTCGCACATTGAAATTACAATATATTCAACATAATCCTAATCAATATCAAGTATGTTTTTGTAGAAAATAAATAGCTTTTTGATCTAATTTACTTTTATAGATTGAAATAATGAAAAAGATTTGTCAAAGTAAATATGAACAAGAAACAACAGAACAAGAATATAATTTCTTGAAGCAACAGATTGATTACTATAATTCACCTAATCAATCGTTTCAACATTTACCTCTAGCTCAAGCAACAGGCATTGATACAATTGAAAATATAGAGATTCGACAACAATTATTAAATCAATATAAAGAAGTAACTTTACAAGTTAGAGATAATTTATTTCCACTATATCTCACAACAGCTGCAGATCAAAAAGAAGAATTTAAAAAGAAGTATGAAGAGAATATTAAAAAATTATTTACAGATGGTATTTTCATCAATGGAAATCGAAGGTTATCTTTATTCTTGATTGAAATTATGAATCAACGTTGTGAAAAAATCAGTGAACGTATCAAATGTGTATATAAATTCAAAGCTCAATCTACTCTCCTTTCAACTACATAACTCTCATTCTGATTAACTTTTATATTTCATATATCATGCTTTTTTTCTTGTCTCTTTTTAGATAAATCTATCGATCTATAACTGTTATTACAGAATGAATGTGAACAACGATAATAATCAACAATCAAAGATAAAATGTCATGGTAATCGAAGAGATCAACGTTTTCGACGAAAATGTCGTAAACGTGGAATGGAACCAACAGAAATAAAAAAATTACTTGAACGTAATCAATCGAAACAGTCGACAACAACAGCAACAACACTTTTGAATAAACGTAAACGAAATATATCACTTCAAGAATTAAAAGCAAAGTCAGTTGTACCAAAATCAATAAGTTCAATATCTATACTTCAACCATCATCGAAAAAGGCGAAGCAACAGATAGAAACAACAACAACGCCACATTTAAATAAACGTAAACGAAACATATCACTTCAAGAATTAAAGGCAAATTCAGTAGTTCCAAAATCAACAAGTTCAATATCAATACTTCAATCAGCATCGAAAAAGACAAAACAACAGACAACAACAACAACAATGCCAATGATACAAGAAAACAATAATAATATTCTAAATTACATATATCGGTTCGTTTGTAATTTTCATTAGTTCTTTCTATACAATTTCTCACTCATTATCATTATAGACGACCAATGTATTTAGAACGATCATCTTGGATACTTTTTCAAACATTAAGTAAAAGATTAAATTATTCATTAAATGATCAACATAAACAATATATTTATACACGATTAACGATATTAGATCATATATATTGTTTGGAAGTTCATTTACAATTATGTAAATCATTTTTAGAGATTGGTCGTACAGAGCATCATTGGCCGGTAATTTTGTTTTTTGTATATTAAATATTGTTTCTATTAGGTTATCTATTATTATCATCATAGGAAGAAGTTCAACTGTTATCAAAAACAGATGATTTTGAACTGTGTAATCAATATTTTACGAATTATATAGAGCAATTAAACGAACAAATAAATCAATATCAAACAGAACTTACAACTCAACTTAGTTCGTATTCAATGATACCTATATCAGTCAATCAAGTTGATACTTGTTTAAAAGAATATGTCAATCATCAACGACAATATTTATTAACAAGAAATAATAAACAACTAGCTAAATTTCAAGATGAGATTCAAGCAAATAAATTATATGAAACGATTATGACTTTCTATCCAAATTTAAATCCAGTAAGAATATATCTTTGATTTTAACAAAGAATTATGTATTTCTTGTGTTAGGAACAATTCATTCATCAGTTAATTACTATACGAGAGAAGCAATTACAAATTTTGGAGGAACTTCTTCAGTTTGAAATGCGGATTCTTTATAAATTTTTACCGCCTGAGCTTGATCAACTAGAAAATGTAGTTGCACCTATTACTTATATACCGTTGAATAATGAACATAAAACTATTGAATTGAATAATAAACGTTATAAAATGATACAAGATGCAAAACGTCAATGGTTACATATTTCTTTATCTGTATATGAAACTAAATTACAAGAATACAATCATCAATTAGAATCGATATTATTAAATAATACAAGTCTTCAAGGTACATCTTTATTAAATGATATTAGTCGATATGTAACATATCGAACCAATGAAATGAAACAATCCTTATCAAGCAAAATGTCTATTTTCCGTAATAAATTAATTCAACATCGTAAGCAAGTAACATCGAAAAATAATTTTATTGGTGTATCACCCGAACCATATCTCGATTTAATATCAAATCCATTTAATAAACGTGAATGGCAATATCTTTCACTTGGTAAATAGTGATTTCATTTTTTGAAAGTAAAACTTAAAATTTAATTTATCTAGGTCCATCATATATACGAACAAATCAAAGTGCAATTCGTCCTCGAAAACAACAAGAAATCGAAATTAAAAGTGAACATACAGACATTTTTACTAAAGTCCAAAATAACCTAACAGAATATCATCATGTACCGAGAAAGCATGTAATTTTTGAAAAATATGCAAATCAACTTCTTAATTATTTGAACAGTTGTTATTTTACTCCCTTACCATACAAAGATCACATTGAAGCTCAAGAACAATCACAAACGACTGCATCGATTCGACAAAAAATTAAACAATTCAAGCTTATTATTCGTGTTACAGATAAAAGTAATAATTTTTACATTGGTTCAGCTATTGAATTTGAAAAAAAAGTTCAGCAGTACTTTATGGATACAAATGCTTTTACAGTAATAGAAGAAAATCCATTACCTGAAATTTTAAACAAAGTTACGCAATTACTGAATAATCTTCGATCAAAGAAATTTATCTGGGTATGGCAATATAACGAGATGATACCTGATCGAAAAACAACTGAATTAGCTCATTTATATTTCAATCCCAAAACACACAAGGTAAGATAGATGTTTTATATGTTGATATTTCATTTTACTTGTATTGAATTAGGATGGTATTCCACTTCGACCCATTGAAAATACAATTCGTGCACCGACAACTAATATTTCCAAATTTTTAGATAAAATTCTTCGGCCAATATTCGATGATAAATGTAAGAAAACAACAATTATTGATGGTGCTCATCTAATTTGTGCTATGAACACATATGCAAACAAAGGTCCAATGAAACCATCAACACTTTTTTGTACATTTGATATTCGTAATTTATATACAATGTTACCTCAAGAAGAAGCATTAAATATTCTTGTGGAATTCCTTCATATGCATGGTTATAGAAAAGTGAAAGGAATTCCTCTGGATTCGATTCGAAAATTGGCTTCTATTGTATTAAAAGAGAATTTTTTCGTTTATGACAATAAATTCTACCAACAAACTACAGGTGGTGCCATGGGTTCATCATTTACATTAACATTAGCTAATATATTTATGTGGAAATGGCAAAGAGAATTAGTTCATCGTCAAGATATTAGCGGTGAATTCTTTGGGAGGTAAGTAGTCTATAATGAAAGTACTCATAACTGTCTTGTACTCAACTCCTTTCAGATACATCGATGATATTTTTATGACATGGAATAGTTCAGAAGACGAATTGAAGATATTATTAAGCGAAGCAAATCAATGGCATCCAAATATTAAATTAGATTATAAAATTAGTCAAAGTCTACCATTTCTTGATGTACTTCTTACAAATAATCATGGTGTTCTTACAACATCAGTTTATCATAAACCAAATGCTGAACCATATGTTGTACCATTTAGTTCGGATCATCCTCGACATGTATTTGTTAATATTGTACAAACACTTCTTAAAAGAGCTGTCCGATATTCATCAGCATTTGAAATATTAAATTATGAACGACGTTCTATCAAGTTAATGTTATTATATAATGGGTACGTATCAGTGTATATTTTTATTTGAATAATATTTATCTTTGTTTATCAATAAATTTTAGTTATCCTTCGTCTTTTATTGATCAACAATTTCATAAATTTTTTAATGAATTTATTTATGCAACATCAATTTTATCATTTATTGAAAATGAACAACAATATATTCTCTTACGCCACGAAATAGTTGGTCAACCAACACCTCAACAATCACAGACAGCATTAAGAGCGACTACAGCTGATGTTGATAATGATCAAACTGATGTTACTGCAGAAACCACATCTCGAGAATCGATCACAACGATTCATAAAAAGCCAATCAACTATGCAGATCGATTATTCCTTCACTATAAACATGAAAAACGATTCCAACCATTTAAAAGAAACATGCATAAAATCTATCAAAACGTCTTCAAAAATACACCAGCTATGGATCTTCGATTAATTGTAGGTAATCGTAATCGGCGTGATGCAAAAAATGAACTTATACGAAAACGACCAAAACGATCATTACTACAATGTAAACAAATACGAACTAAATACCAGAAAATGTTAGGTAAACTATTATCTTAAAAGATATCTATGTTTGAATATGTTTTACTTAGACCGATTAAGAAAAAACAGGAAATCCGTCACTGCGAATGTTCAAACTAATAATACATAAGGATTATTCACAAAGAACTTATCAACTACTACAAACAATAATGAATAAGATTCATCATAATCAAGCAAAGATTTAATGCATATTATTTACTTGCATGCTTTCTCTTTTCTCTTTTAGTATACTAGCATGATTTTTATTTGCATTATACTTCAGATGATATTATTCATTTGCATTTTATTTAATTCATGTTAATGTTCTAATATAAAATAATAATATTATTATTATTCTAGATATGTTTCGTGCACATTATATGTATGATATTAATTATTTTCTACAACAACTGTCCTTCCGAATAATTATATTGATATAGTAAGTAGTCTTATTATTTCTATTTCAGATATTTTACTTTCTTGCATTACGACAGTATGGTCAAAGTACCGATGTACAGCAAATAGCTGCAAAATTTATATGATAGTTTTACACATTATGATATTAATCAAAATTATCAATTATCAAATTTCTACAAGTTTAATCTAAAGGTATGTTTACATTTAAAGTTTTTCTTACATAGAAAAGATTATATACATTTACAATATTCTCCATAGTCCTAATGATTATTTTCTTGACATATTTCTGTTGGTGTTTCAATAATTTCTTCTAATAAGTATTTGAAGACTTTATATTCTTAAAAATCTATTGAAATGAGTTTTTTTTCATATCCTTAGTCTATCAATTGAGTCAGTTACGATTTAAATAATATGAAAGTCATTAATAATGATTAGATATTTTCATTACGAATTAAATCTTACATACAATTATACTCATTTTTGTTAACTAGAGTGAATTACATGTTAATTTTTGAACTATGAATCAACGAATGCATATACAAAATTCTATTTCTATATAATTTGAAACAATAAGTACTTTTCTAAATTAGAAAATGTTGTTTTATTTATTACTACAAATGAATATGAATTCTATCTTCGTTTAATGCTGTTAAATTTTAGATAGAATTTGATTCCTTTGATCTCTACTAAGTTACTATGTGTTTCTCATCTAGACTAATAATTTTTGTTCTATTCTTTTTAACCATAATATTTTATAAATTAATACTATGAATCACACATATAAACCTCTTTTTGGAGTTTTGTAATACTAGATCAAATGTTATAGTTCTTCTTACATCATTCTTCTAAATATTAATATTGAATTAATTGTATTTTTTCTCATCAATCTAATAACTTAGTTCAAATTATCTATACTTATTATACTTAGATATTATGATCAAAAAAAAGTTAAATATAAAATAGATTAATATTTAAAAAAATAGATTAATGAATTGTAAATACATATTATTCAGAAAGACGTTCCATAATAAAAAATACATTATTAATTAATATTCTATTTATTTTCCTATACTGATAATGTGTCAAGAGAAAAAAGAGATATAGTTTATCTTTACTAATAATATTTCTTCTTTCTTTTTTTTCTTTTATCCTGTTTATACATAGTTTCTTCTTGTTTTTCTTCCCTATCATTGCAATATCATATGAATCAGATAGAATATTTGCACGTCTTAAGAACATTTGTTTTTTTATAAACTAAAATATCGAATTGTATGCACATATCTAGCAAAAAAAGAA